AATATATAATATATTATATTATTAATAATTATATTATACAATGTATAATAATTATGATTATTAATTCTTTTAATCATTATTTTAGTGCTCGATAATTATAAGTTATCATTTTTTAATTCCTCTGAAGTAATATAATATATTAGATCATTCAGAAAATAATTTTTTGTTTTTCATAACTCGTATGAAAAACGAAATTATTTCACCGATCGATCTAATAGTTAAAATAATATAATTTATAATCATCAATTATATTATAAATACTACGAAATATTAAATAAATATTATATTAAAAAGCTAATTTATTTGGAGTATATAAAAGAATAAATTTTAAAATTTTTTAAAAATTTTTTAAAAATTAAATAATATTTTAATAAATTTTAAGAATTTAATTACATACAAGAAAATTAAATAAATACAATCTGAGAATTTAAAAAAATATATATATAAAATGTTTTTAAAAACTAAGTATTACTAATAAAATTATAATAATATGAAAATATTTATTGCGTAAAATAATAATTAATTTATAAAAAAATATAACTAAAAAGAGAATAATTCTATAAAAAAAATAAAAAATTAGAGAAATAAAATAAAAATTGTTCACACGAAATTTTATTTTTTAAAAAATTTAATTCATTTAATTAATTAAATTAATTATTTAAATATCTATTTAATACATATATCAACGAATTTCGCTATAAACTGAATATTTCTATTTATGTTTATGTTTATATATTACAAATAACATTGCATTAGTTTTTTAAAATTTTATTTTATTACTAAATAAAATTTTAAGCTTGAAAAAATACATTCTATTTTTCCTGTTTATATTATTCGTAAAAACAAAATGCGATATAAGTTTTATATATAAGATAAATATTAGAACAATCGTGTTTTCAAACACAATTTAATCAGAAGTTACTATATTCTATTGCTGATATTGCTGATATAGCCAAAACGCATTTCAATTGTTTAAAAGAATAACAACTTTAAAATATTATTTTTAAAAAAATGATATTTTTTTAAAAACTTTCCCGACTAAAATCATGTTTCGGCAATGAAATAAAACTTTAAAAAAAGATTAGAATAATATTTTCAAATTAAATAAAAATTAAATTAAAGAATTAATTTAAAATTTTAATATGAAAAGCAAAATTATACATTCAATCTAATACATTTCAACAATATCTTCAAAGTAATTGAAAAATATTGTTACATACGACATAAACATAATTACAATACGAAAAACAAGTGCAGATATATGAAAAACAAAATCTCCTATAAAAAATTTTATTTCGTGTTTTTATTTTTTCATATAGAATGATTTTATTTTGCATAAATTATAATGTATTCTACCAAATATTATAAATAAGAACGAAATCAGATTTTATTAAATTATGGATCGCTATCTCTTATGAAATCACCTAATAAAATTTTATTATAGAAATCATCTAATAGAAATCATGAAAACTTTAGCAATTAATAATTTGACTTTTTATGCAAAAAATAAACATCTATTTTATTAGTACACTAATTTATTTTTGTTATAATAAATAATATAATAATAATATAATAATAATATAATAATAATAAATTGTAAAATTATAAGTACAACAAAGAATTTTTCTTAAAGATNATGAAAATTTTAAAATGATAATTATATTTTTATTAGGAAATAATGGAACTATATTTTTAATTAAATATAATTAGTTATGAAACGTTATTGAAATATTATTGAAATATAAGCTATAAATATCTATTTCCATTTTTATAATAACTTAATTTTATGAATTTAAGATTATTATTAATTTTTCTTTTGAATCGATTCTTGTATATATTTGTATATATATATATTTTCTTTGTATTATATTATAAAAATACATAAAAAAAACAAATTAATAGTGAAAAATAATAATTTAAACTTAAATATGAAAAAAAATAAAATACAATAAATTAAATAAAATTATTTTTTTTAAGTTATTATATTTATTTTTTAATTAGTTAAAATTGAAATTAGAAATGAAAGTGAAAACTTTTAATGAAAAAAAAAAAAAAAAAAAAAAAAAATGAAGGAAGAGAAGTAACAACAACAAATATTCATAAAAAAATATCTTAGTAAGATACTATATATAAAATATTTTTTAACATTTCTCATACCTTTTAGTATTACGCATTTTTTTTATTAAATAAAAATGATATAAATGCAATTGAATAATAATTTTTTTTAGGTTTTTTGAGATAAAAACTCAAAAAAAATTAATTGAATCAATTAATGTAACTTTTATTAAAATTAAAAATTTGTTAAAATAAAAAATTAATAAAATAATATTTGGTATTGATTTTTGATTCAATTTTTTATGTTGTAAAAAATAAAAAAGCTTAGAATTTCAATTTATTATTATGTAAAATCGATTATGAATTGATTATATGCTTTTCTTAATTTTGAAGATAAAAAAAATTCTACCATACAACATTCACTAAGAATAAAATTGTATAATTATATTTAATAATTGATAAAAATGGTCGATTGACGTAGAACTCAATGGGCTTCGGCGGTGACCAAAAACTTGAAAGAGGCCTTACACTCAGACCTGTCACAAGCAATTAATTGTGAATTATTCGCTTAACCAACAAATACGAATTAACAATAAATAAGAAAAGAATTGGATAAAATATTATACACAGAAATGTCTTATATCATATTCACAAGTTAAATACAAAACTGACTAATTTGCATAACAAATGTCGAGATATAAGACATTAGTGCGTTATATTATATGAAGTAATATTATCAATATAAAAATATAATATTAAATAATATTATCATATAATTAAAATAATAATTTATATAAAAGGATTGATTATATTAAAATGAATATAAAGAAAGAAAAAGAATGAAAAAAATTGAAATAATATTAATTTATAATGTAAACAATTTTCGAAAGAATTAAAGAAATCAATTAATTGAAATGAAATAAAAAAATATGAACATAATTATGAAAATCAGATGACTGCCTCAGAATTAATGATTTGGCCATTGAAGAGAATTATGTTGTCATTTCCTGAAGTGATTGCATAAAGGAATGGTCCATTTACTCGAAATTCTTCTAAGGAAGGATACACGAAGAGCTCAATCTGGTATTCTGTTGAAAAAAATTGCAAAATGTTACAAAAAAAAATTATAAAAAAAAATAATCAATATTTTATATTTCATTCTTTATTCTTTCTTTTTTAAATTTTTTTAATTTCTTATTTGTCCAATTCTTTTAATAGATATTGAAGTGCATAAAATTATGATTTATGATTAATTATAAATAGAAAGAATCTAAATGAATAAGTATATTATTTGGCAATGATTCAATTATTCAATTTATATTGAACATTTTTTTATATTTTTAGAAAGTCCAATACTATTAAATATTATATCTTAAAAAACTATTAAATATTTATATCTTTAAAAAACAATTATTTTTAATAAATAATAAATAATAAAAATAAATTATTATAAATAATATTTATAATATAATATATAATATTATAAATATATTTATGATATAAATATTATTTATAAATATA